ACCAAGTTTGGTTTTCCCTCAGTGTCATTAAATAAGTGTCAGCTTACCTTTGAATAATCGATTGAAATAGCAATTAAATCAATACAAAAAAATTGAATGTAAACAAATTAAGCGTTAACTTATCTTTGAATTATCTTTGAATAATTCGATTGATCAACATAAAGAAATTGAATAAGAAATTATATGCATTGATTAAATTCAATACAAATACTTGTCACTGCACTGCACTTATTGAAATAATAAGATACGTAAACATAATAACTTGTCACTACACTTATTGAAACACTTATTGAACTAATTGGAGAAATACTTATGTATCAATCAGGTCGTGGGCACTAACGTCGTATTTACGAAATGTAATCCTTCTTTTCAATCAGTGATAGAGTTCTTTATTTTTCATATGTTAAAACCGACTTCCAAACTCTAATCAGTGATAATAAATCCTATACAGAAAAATGAAAATTTTTCAAATATCCCATGAATAGATATGATAATTTGAATTGGGCCACTAATATTTATGTCTGAAAATCATGCTTTACTATCATTTGCTACAACATTTGAATATATGAATTTTAAAACTTAATTGCGGAATAGTTCATGAGAAAAACAGTAAATATGGATTCATATGAATTCAGGCGTGATCAAATCATGGGCAGAAGTTGCCTGTATACAGAAGAAGTATTACATATGCCCTGTGATAGTACTGTGTGTGAAATTCCTGATATGCATTCACATCCCCACTTTGCCACATATATTTATCAAATAAATGCAACACACCACTTAATTTGCGATAAAACCATACACTTCGTTAAATTTTTAATATCACTCCGTTCTTAGAATATTGTTCAATGCAAGATCTAGTACACTTATGATGTTATACTAAAGCATTGGAAATTTGACAAGAAATCTTTGGAATTGTTTTTTTGTGTGATAATTTTAAAAAAAGATTTTAAGATTTTCGTGTGATTGGCGATCATCTGCCCATCACAGTAATTGGAAAAGCACGAGAACATCAAAAATGTACAACATTGATACGTACAATAGGAAAATTTTTATTATATATATTTATACATTTCATTGATAGATGCTCTATCGCTACAAGGTTTTCTTGTTGAATACATTCACACGGAGTTCAAATTTAAAGGAAAGCAAAATAGATATAACATGAATTAAAATGTATATGATTGCAATTTTAGGGCCAAAAATTTTTAGTTACAAGTGCCTTAACAAAATAATTACATCCTTTTTACTATTAAATAGTTTGAAGAAGACCTTATTTATCCGAAAATGAATAAAATTACCAAATGTTGTTGCTGCATACCTTTGAGGACAGGTGTTATTATCATAACACTGTTTTTGCTGGAAAGTATCTTTTTTTTTTTTATTCCAGACTGTTTAACTCCTTAAATATTGATAAATATTAATAATATTAATTATATTAATAATTTCAGGTTGTAGGAATATTTTATTCCATCCAAGACATAATAAATATCGTGAACAACTCTGTCTGTAAGTTTTTTTTTTATCTAATACATTTTTTGCTTGGCAGCCAGTTTTAACGTTTTTATTTCTTTACCAGTCATTGAGAAAAGTATACGTTATATTGCTATAGTTGTGGATACTCTATTGTGCTTAGTAGCCGCTTTTGGGTTGTTTGTTATTTTCGTTGTGGTATGTGGTGTTTAAATCTTAAAATCTTAAATATTAAAGATTAAATTAACTAAGTTGTTTATTTTAAAACAAGCAGAAAACATCATATCTTTTAAAGCTTTACGCTCGATTTGTTTATGCTCTTATAATACTCAGATCTTTGAGTTGTCTCTATACCGTTGTTATCTTTGCTTCATTTAAAAATGAATTTATGAACTTTTGTAAAACATCGAACAACCAGAGTAATGTCGATGAAACCCAGACTACTCGCGCTTGTAATATTGCATATATTACCTTGTTTTTATCAATCAGCTTTATGAGCGTTTTTCTCATTATTATTATGGTATAGTTATTTTTTTTTCGAATTTAAATTAGATTTAATTTAAATATATATTATATATATATTAATCAAAATTTTTGATTACTGTAGATTTATTTTGCAATGGTCATTAATGCTTATGCAGAAAAGCGTAAGGGTAAAGAAAACGGTGATTACACTTCGTCTGATGTTATTGAAACGCATGGATCCAACCTTAATAGTTAAAGTCTGTAAAGTAGAAATATTTGTTGAAAATTTTACATATAATATTTATCATAACAGATAATTTAAGTACCTACGAAATATTTATATCAGGGTTGTCATGTTTATATGATTTTTCTATTGGCTTCTAATTCTATTCATTTTTTTATTTTTCTATTGTAAATTTTAAGTATTAAACTTTACTAATTAAATATAAAAATATTTTAAATTTATTACTTTACTAATGTTCTAACAATATATGTTTAAATAATTGCAAAATATTAATAAAAATTTTTTTTTATATGAAAACAAAAAATTAAGCTTTTGTTCTATTGTTCTATTTGCCAACACTGATTTATATAATAACACATGTAGCTGAAACGTTATACTTCTTTAAATATTATTCCATAAATTCATTATTTAATTTTAATTCGTATACAAAAAAGGAAGAAGACATATACATACGTGCATAGATTTGTCGAAATTTAAAAGCTATCTAACGCATTATTAATATTTACGTACATGTCGATTTCTTGAATAATTTCAACATAATGCTATTTAAAATCAATCTAATACATTATTAATATTTACGTATATGTCGATTTCTTGAATAATTTCAACATAATGTTATTACAAGAACTTCTTTTAAAGAGTTGGTGAGTTCATTAAATGCTCCCAGACTCATGGCAGGATAATTTCCCTTACATCCTACACATCGATCTATATTTATAACTTCTATTTAAATCTTTCTACCGCAATTTTAAATATCACATAGCTAAAAATGACGTTACCTAAATGACTAGAAAACCAATCACGCACATTCATTCAATTATACATTTTTTGTTATACGGTTATACATCCCTGACCAAGTGTTTTATGAGCTAAATTCGGAAAATAATTACCTCAAAATTAAGATAATCGTTCATATTATCATTAAAGATGTTTTAAAAATCTATGCTAAAGTTAAAATAAATTGAATAATGAATTGAAGAATAAATTGAATAATAAATTGAATTATAAATTGAATAATAAATTGAACAATAAATAGACAGGTTTCGAAGTTTTTAGGAAATAGTAAAGTTGATTTTAAAAAAAATTTAGTCATGCGGGATTCGTTGCGTTGCACAAATAATTACAAGGCAGAAATTTCAGTTGTTTTTTTTACTGTGGACCATAACGATGGATACGTAGAATAATATATATATATTTTTAGATTGATTATAATTGAGGTAAATAATCTGTTCACTTGATCAAAATTTAAATGATCCCAACTCATCAAATAATGACCGAACCGTTTGGTAATTTGTGGAAATGTGCGCAATTGGTCATAATTATTATAATTACGATCAATTACGGCATTGCGCTTACCTCTAGTAATTTAGAACTCAAATAGAGTTTAAATAAAATACGTTTAATCATTAAAAGTTTATAGTTACTATTACTGCTTTTAGGTGAGACCATTTTTCAAAGACGAACTAAACCCAGCGAAAGACAAAACGGTGAAACCCTGGCGAAACGGCGAAAACTTAGCAAAACGGCGAAATCCTGTTAAAGGTAAAACCCCTGGGGAAAGTCCAAATTTGGAGAAGATCAAATCCTTTAAGACTTTGGAAAGGCTGGGACATGTTAGTAAACCAAAATCTTTTGCGCATGGCATAGCGTGTAAAAAATATACAAAAGTAATAAACAAAGAGTAGCTTTTTGTTGTATACGTGTATTATTAAAAGAATTAAAAGAAAAATAGACTTCAGGCTTTTAAACTTATAATTAAATCAACCATGTCTTGCCTAAAACGGTAGCATAAGAGCGTCATATGAAGTTCATTGTATACAGAAGGGTAATACCATTACTAGCGGCCAACAACTAATTATCCGTCAAAAGTTTCAACAAATAAGTACTTGTTATCCGACATGTCTTATGTGAACACCGAATGATTTTGGTGTAAATTATTCGGCCACCTCCTAATACAATACACGAATTTTCATCACCTCTTAAGAGGTGAATAAAAATTTGTGTAGTTGTATTAGAAGGAGGCCGAATAAGTTACACAAAAATCGTTCGGTGTTCACATAAGACATATCGGATAAGCATATTATTGGTCAAATTGTCGCTGATAATTGCTGATTTCTTCACAGCAGATACCGCATTATGACGTAACCTTCGGCCACGTCATAAAAACAGTATCCTAGTGAATAATCAGCAGAGTTGTTAATGGCTTGAACGGCTCGGCTTGGCTTTTAAAAGCTGCATCTCCAGCTTGAATGGCTCGGCTTGGCTTTTAAAAGCTGCGTCTCCAGCTTGAACCATGGCTATTGAAGCCACGGCTCGAGTCACGGCTTGAGCCATGGCTCAAGCTGTGGCTCAAGTCATGGCTCCAGTAACTATTACTAGGAATGTGACTCTGATATGTAGCAATAAATGCATAACGTTTATATTTAATTAACGTCCATAATTAACATATAGAATGGAGCTATACATATAAAGATGCAAAGGGCATTTAATGTTATTTTTTTATAAACAAGTATTGATAAATTATATTTGTAGTGATAGGGGTTTATTAGTATATCGAGCGCAAATGCTAGTTTCACTAAAATAAAATTGTTCTTGCTAATCTTTTTACATTGCGCTTTCAAACCTCAATTTGTAAAAATAAATATATCATTTTTATAAAATTATTAATCAAGTTAAAAATATTGTTTGAGTTAAAAATATTGTAAAATTAAAAATGTTGTTAAAAATATTGTTTAAGTTATTGAGTTAAATTTATTAATTTATTAAGTAAATTTATATAAATGTAGCAAATGTAAAATGGTAAAGCATTAAGTCAAAAATGTCAAATATTGATCTCTACAATATTAGTTCTTACAATTCTGAAAGTTCTGATCATGATAGCGCTAACACCTCAACATCTCAAACATCTAACAGTATAGATAGCAATAGAAAGTTGTTTGTGTGGAATTTTATGCATGAAGAAAGAAATGCAACTGGAACTGTTGTAGTAGTATGTGATGAGTGTTCACAAGAATATAGTATAAAATTATCAACAGGGGTTTTAGCTGAGCATTTAAATAAAAAACATAATTATAATATTACTTTGAAACCAAGAAGATTTTTGGTTCAAAAACCTTATGGTAAAGATGATAATACATGTATAGAAGAATGTGAAAGTTCTATATTAGATTTCTTTGTTGGTGATCAAATTTCATTCAATACTGCAGAAAGCAGGTGGTTTCGTAAAATAACAAGTACACTTGATTCAAGGTATTAAAAATACTAATTTATTACTACTCTTTTCAATTTAGTTAGATCATCGATTTAACTAAATCAAAAAGAGCAATAAATTTTATTAGATAAGTTCTTTTTAGATTTTAATATCTATATTGTTCTATATTTTTTCTCTCAATTAGATATATCTCACCAAGTCGGCAACATAGAAAAGACAAAATAATGTCATAATATAAGATTTGAAAATCACTTATTGCTGAAGAACTTAAAATTTTAAATACAAAAGTAGCACTTACCGCAGATATTTGGACCTCTTCAGCAAATTAGACTTATTTTGGTGTTACAATTCACTTTATTAATAACAAATGAAAAATGAACCGATTCTTACTTGATCTAATTTATTTTGAGTCCAACCATATTGGGGCATATTCAAAATATAAACTAATTAATCTTTGTAACAACATGAATATTAATGATAAAGTTATAGCATTAACTACAGACAATCATTTGGCAATGATCTTATGTGAAGATCTATTAAAAAGAAAGTAGGACAAATTTGGGTTTAGCTATTATAGATGTGCAGCATACATTTTAAATATTGCAGTTAGTTATAAAATGCAACTAGAAACTGCAATAATTGAAAAGGTTTAAAATTTCATTAATACGGTTCAATGTTCAACAATTTTGTGTAATGATCTTCAACGTTTTTGTGCCTTAAATAGGTAATCACTTCATTATTCTTAAAAAAATTATTATAGTAGTGCATAATTCTAATGAAAAGTAGTACGTATATATATACAGTTGGCTTCTAAAGTTTATCATGATTATACAAAAATAATATGCAAATCAATGATAAATATTAATGAATACAACTGACTCTTAAAATAAAAAAACTCACTAGGTCCAACCAAACCCTTCTTATATCAAAACTTTCTTATATCAAAGACTTAAAAAATTTTTAAATAGAACTTGTAAAATTTTATATAAGAGCTTTTTATATCAAGTATATGAAGGTTTCTTAGAATGAAAGTTACTTGTATCATAAATTGTGGTGTTTTTTGTGTAATAATAATAAACTTTTGGAGCTGACTGTACCTAGGTACCCGGAGTATTATAATATAAGTTAAGTGTTAATATAAGCTATGTAGTAATAATTTTTTTTTTTTTTTTTTTTATCATTGCAATGTCGTGGAAAGGTAAATTTTTTATTAGGTATTTAGTATTACATTCTTGGTTAACGAGAGTACATTTAACCACATGTGCAACTTTTGATTGCCTATTTAAGTAAATACCCGAAGGTAATATACTAAATGGCATACCTGCAACCTAACTATGAGATTACCCATTTAAACCCTCTGATATCCCTGTTCAGTAACACCACCCCAATTACACCAACCCATAACCTCATGCTGCTCCAATGAAAACTACCCAGATTGACATCTGCTAACTACTTGTGCCCTAATTCTATAGATAACCCAATAGAACCTACATATCAGGTTGCTCTAGGAAAGGTATAGTACAAACTCCCTAATCTTTCTATGTCCCACACATTTCCAGACTACACTATTCGGTAACTTACGTCAAGTTTGAAGACAAGTATTTGCGAACCTAAGCCACTACTGTTACCTACTACTGCTTTTGTAAAGTTCACACAAACCCAGTACACACTTTACAGACTAACACCAACTTACCTTCACTAACAGCACCCTGAACTTCCAATCCAGATAGCCTGGGGAGGGACCAGTGGGTGTCTTCTTGGTATTCTAATTGAATCTTTTTTCTTGTCTATATGGAGCCCTTACCTGTATATATGCGGTCTGGTTGGTATTAGTGTTTAGCCAAACACCCAGTTCTTATCCAGTTTACTGCCAGTGTTCAGTTGCCAATGATCATCCTTTACATAGTACCATCGAAGATCTGTGCTACCTTTCTGCTCGAGGCTTGCCAAGCGGGCTTCTATGTGCTGTAAGCCCAAGCTTTGGATTTACATAGTTGCATAACTCATACATTATACAACCTTCCAGAACAAGCTGGTATAACCAAAGTTACAAGTGCTACCACTCTTAGGAT